TCTTCCTTCCTTGCCAACCAGAAACCTCTGCCCCCGCCAGTGCCAGGTGTCCCTGCCGGGAGCCTGGTCTGCGCATCCCACTCGGGCCTCGTTCCTCGAGCACCTGCACTAACTGGCAGGTTTGTGGTTGGTTTTCATCTGAGCAAAGCGTATCAGGACATTGCGGCCTGATCTGACGCCGACCCAGGGACTTCCCCAAATCCCCTCCCGCCACTTGCTTGGGATCCTGCGCCCAGGATGGTGGCCCTGGCACTTCTGTGTCTCTGTGGACCTCCCTGTTCTGGACATTGCCCGAGAATGGCATCTTGGAACACGTGCTCTGCTGTGACTGGTAGATTTTCACGGTTCACTCGCACTGCACTGTGGCTCAGTACTGACTCCTTTTTAAAAAAATTTTTTTTTTGATATTTATTTTATTTACTTGAAAGGCAGAGTTCCAGAGAGGCAGAGGCAGGGGAAGGAAGTCTTCCATCCACTGGTTCACTCTCCAAATGGCTGCATCAGCCAGAGCTGAGCTGATCTGAAGCTGGGAGCCAGGAGCTTCTTTCAGGTCTCCCACGTGGGTGCAGGGGCCCAACCACTTGGGCCATCTTCCACTGCTTTTCCAGGCCATAGCAGAGAGCTGGATGGGAAGTGGAGCAGCCAGGACTCAAACCAATGCCCATATGGGATGCCAGCACTGCAGGCAGAGGCCTTACCTGCTACACCACAGGGCCAGTCCCAGGGGACTGGTTTTCATGGCTGAATAGTATTCCGTTTTGTGGTGGATCACACTGTTTGTCCTTCGCTGTTCTTCAGCTGATGGGCATGTGGGCTGTTTCCTGAGTAGCACTGCCATGAACATTGGTGTGGAGGTTTTTCTGCACACACGCTGTCACTCCTCAGGTATGTACCTAGGCGTGAGCTGCAGGGTCCCATAGTTATTCTGTGTTTCATCATCCTACGGACTGCCAGACAGTTCCTGGGGATGGTGGCAAATTTATTCTTAAAAGCACTGCTGGAGAGTTCCACCTTATCCAGTTCTGGTCCACACTCACCATTATCTGCTACTGATTCCAGCATCCGGGTGAAGTGCTATCTCATGGTGGTTTGATTGGCATTACCCTGGTGATTAAAGATGCCAAGCATCTTTTTTATAAGAAGTATTTTTAAAATTTTATTTGAGAATCAGAGTTACAGAGAGAGGGAGAGAAAGAGAGGTCTTCTATCCACTGGTTCACTCCCCAGATGGCCACAACAGCCAGGGCAGTCAGGCTGAAGCCAGGAGCTTCTTCTGGGTCTCCCACATGGGTGTAGGGGCCCAAACACTTAGGCCATCTTCTGCTGCTTTCCCAGGCCACTGACAAGGGGCTGAATGAGAAGTGGAGCAGCCAGGACATGAAACAGCCCCCATATGGGATGGTGTTGTCACACACAGTGGTGTTACCTGCTATAGCACACCAGCTCCTGCTCCCCAAATTTTAAGAGAGGGAGGGAGGGAGAGACAGAGCGAGAGCGAGTGAGCTTCCAACTACTGGCTCTCTCCAAATTCCCACAACAGCAGGGCTGGGCCAGGCTGAAGCTGGGAGCCAGGAACTGAATCTGGGACTCCCACATGGGTGCAGGGGCCCAAGTACTTGAGCCATCATTTTGTGACTTCCAGGGTTCAGGGAGCTGGAATGGAGAGCGGGACAGGGATCTGAACCCAGGCACTCTGATACGGGATACAGGATACAGGATACCCAGGCACTCTGATACGGGGTACAGGATACGGGACACCCAGGCACTCTGATACAGGATACGGGATACCCAGGCACTCTGATACGGGATACAGGATATGGGATACCCAGGCACTCTGACCCGGGATACAGGATACCCAGGCACTCTGATATGGGATATAGGATACGGGATACCCAGGCACTCTGATACGGGATACAGGATACGGGATACAGGATACGGGATACCCAGGCACTAAATACGGGGTACAGGATACGGGATACCCAGGCACTCTGATATGGGGTACAGGATACAGGATACCCAGGCACTCTGATATGGGGTACAGGATACGGGATACCCAGGCACTCTGACATGGGGTACAGGATACGGGATACCCAGGCACTCTGATACAGGATACAGGATACAGGATACCCAGGCACTAGGATACGGGATACAGGATACGGGATACCCAGGCACTCTGATACGGGATACGGGATACGGGATACCCAGGCACTCTGATACGGGGTACAGGATACGGGATACCCAGGCACTCTGATACGGGGTACAGGATACGGGATACCCAGGCACTCTGATATGGGGTACAGGATACGGGATACCCAGGCACTCTGATACAGGATACAGGATACGGGATACCCAGGCACTAGGATACGGGATACAGGATACGGGATACCCAGGCACTCTGATACGGGGTACAGGATACGGGATACCCAGGCACTCTGATATGGGGTACAGGATACGGGATACCCAGGCACTCTGATATGGGGTACAGGATACGGGATACCCAGGCACTCTGATATGGGGTACAGGATACGGGATACCCAGGCACTCTGATATGGGGTACAGGATACGGGATACCCAGGCACTCTGACATGGGATGCAGGATACGGGATACAGGATACGGGATACCCAGGCACTCTGATACGGGGTACAGGATACAGGATACCCAGGCACTCTGATACGGGGTACAGGATACGGGATACCCAGGCACTCTGACATGGGATGCAGGATACGGGATACCCAGGCACTCTGACACGGGATACAGGATACGGGATACCCAGGCACTAGGATACGGGATACCCAGGCACTCTGATACGGGATACAGGATACGGGATACCCAGGCACTCTGATACGGGATACAGGATACGGGATACCCAGGCACTCTGATACGGGGTACAGGATATGGGATACCCAGGCACTCTGATACGGGGTACAGGATACGGGATACCCAGGCACTCTGATATGGGGTACAGGATACGGGATACCCAGGCACTCTGACACGGGATACAGGATACCCAGGCATTCTGATACGGGATACAGGATACGGGATACCCAGGCACTCTGATACAGGGTACAGGATACAGGATACCCAGGCACTCTGATACGGGGTAGAGGATACAGGATACCCAGGCACTCTGATACGGGATACAGGATACAGGATACCCAGGCACTCTGATACGGGATACAGGATACCCAGGCACTCTGATACAGGGTACAGGATACAGGATACCCAGGCACTCTGATACGGGGTACAGGATACGGGACACCCAGGCACTCTGATACAGGATACGGGATACCCAGGCACTCTGATACGGGGTACAGGATACGGGATACCCAGGCACTCTGACACGGGATACAGGATACAGGATACCCAGGCACTCTGATACGGGATACAGGATACCCAGGCACTCTGATACAGGGTACAGGATACAGGATACCCAGGCACTCTGATACGGGATACAGGATACGGGACACCCAGGCACTCTGATATAGGATACGGGATACCCAGGCACTCTGATACAGGATACGGGATACCCAGGCACTCTGATACGGGGTACAGGATACGGGATACCCAGGCACTCTGACACGGGATCCCGGGTAGAGGCTTCACTGCCGTGCCCTGTGCCTGCCTCCATGGAGTATCTTCTCACATGCTAGCTTCCACTTATATTTCTTCCCTGGGGAGATGTTTTCCAACAGAGACTTTGGGCCCTGGATACTCAACTTCAGTATTAATTTTACTTTTTCAGCTTCAGTCTTTGCATCTGTAAAATGGGACCACAGCACCAGAAGACACCTGACAGAAAAACAGGAAGTGGGAGTCAGAAGCACTGTGGGTGTCTGAACTGGGGGACAGGTGCCGCTGGAAGCCACGAGTGCTGAACCAGGGGGTGGACAGCCCTGCAGTCGGGGCCACTTCCTGTCTCCACTTCCAGGCTTCCGTGCCTGCCGCAGACAGGCCTCCAGGGCTCTGCGGCCAGTGCTGCTGGGTTATGGGATCCGCAGCAGGTGAATTACTCTTCCAGCGACACTTTTTCAGGAGGGCAGTTCGCTAAAGGGAGAGCTATGCAGATGACGTGAACAGTCCGGGCAGACACATGCAGAGAAAGATGCCCTGTGGCCAGTGCCAGAGGCTGGGTCAGCTGTCAAAGGGCAGCCCCCGGAAGCTGGGAGAGGTGAGGAGGATCCTTCCCTGCAGCCTCCGTGGGAAGCATGGCCCTGGTGACCCTAACATCAATGTCTCGACCCCAGGACTGAGAGCAACGCTCCTGCTGTTGTCAGCCTCCCAGTGTGAGCCACGTGGCCACGGCAGCCACAGGAAAGCACAGTGATGCTGATCAGGAGGTGGGAAGCCCTGGGGGTGTTCCAGGTCTGCTGTGTGCGTGGCAGTTCTGTCCACCGTGTATTTATGGGGAGTGGACTCTCACAGAGTCCAAGAATGCCCGTAGGAGCCCGTGGGAGGCAGGATGCAGATACCAGCAGCGGCTTCCAGAACAACACCAGGACTGGAACGAGGCTTGGGGTGGTGGGGGTGCAGCCTGGCCAGAACCACCCCGACAAGCTGGGGGCCCTGCCCCCAGCTCCTGTTCTGGGTCCCCAGGATGAAGAGCCGTGATTATTTTCTCATCTTCCTCACATGGCTCCAGTGGGCCTCGTTTGATCAAGGCCAACGTCTCACACATCAAAAGCTGCTCGCACCACAACCCGGGGCATACTACTGATAATTCTCTTTTAAATCTGTTCCCGAAGACCCCACGGCGCTCGGAGCCGGCTGCTGGGCCCAGGTGGTGCGCCGTGCTCAGCTGTATTAAGCCTTCCCGGCTTAGGCAGCTTCAGTCGATGGCTGTGCTCCGGTGGCCGGGTGTCCAGCAGTTCGCCTTTGCATCTGGAAATAACCTTTGAGGGCACCCATTGCGCACAAAGCCTGTTTCTGGGGAACCATCTGGCAACCCTCGTGAGATGTGAACAGGAAAGCCCCGGGATATCAGAAAGAAATGCACGCTGGGAAGGAAGGAATGCAGGAGATTTATTATCATGATCATTAATTCTTCAGGTTAACGACTGAGAAATTCATCCAGGAAAACGTTTTGTATTTGGTGGTCGGGAACCCACGCGCACCCAGGTCTGGGTGAACAAACATGAAGATTGCACCTTGGGAGAGAAAGGCTGCACCTGGCGGTCTGTGGCAGATGGATGGAGCGATGGTTTGTCCAGGCTGCCCGGGGGCGCCTGCTTGGAGCCTGGTCCCGGACGCTGGCTTCAGAGGACCGCGCGGCTGAGGCGGCTTGCATGTAGGTTCTGTGGCTGTGCTGCTGGTGATGTCCAGCTCTCCAGAAGCCACACCTGGTTCTCACTGCCATATATAGGTGGGGACACGAGGCCTCGAGGGGTGCACACTGGGAGGGGGCGCTGAGCTGCACCCTCAGGGAAGGGGCAGTGCTTGGCCTCACCGCATCCGCTCTACTTCCGGCCGGTGGACAGGGCCTGGAGAAGGCACCAGAAAGGCTGGTGGGGAGTGCAGGGTCGGGGGATGTGGCTACGACTCCATCGCAGGTGAGTGGAACAGGTGGCTGCACCCCCCTTCTGAGCGCTGTTGGCGGGTCTTAACATTGACCTAAAGGAGCCCTCTTGGGTTTCCAAGCTTGCTGTGAGCCAGGGGTTGTGTGCGGCTTATTGGGCCAGTGAGGGTGGCCCCCTGCAGGTATATACTCAGGCAGGGGCAGTCTGGGCGACTGGCGGACAAGCAGGGTCTTCCTGCTCTAATGGCCCGTAGACAGGAGGCAGCTTTCTAGGAGGTCTGTCCTATTTTCCCCTCTACCCTGATCAGGGGTCACTTCCAGAACTCCACAGCAGTGCCAGGAGTGGTGGCTGAGAAGCACAGCTTGGAGCACCCCGCCCCCAGTGGCCAAAGATGCTGCTGTACCCTCGGGTGCAGGGTCTCCCACCACACAGGGGAGGGGAACTGAGCGTGGCCACTGCCCGTTTCTAGGGTCTTCCCTACGCTGGCTTTCGGAGACCCGCCCTGTGAGCCGGGGCTGCTCGCTCGCCCGTGGGTGCTAAGGCTCTGTCGCCCGACGACTGAAAGAAGGACTGCATTGGTCTTGCCTTGATCTAATCCTCCCTGGTCTCCACCCTCTCAGTGGCTTTGCTGACCACCGGGGCTCCAGGTGATTGCTGCAGCAGAACGAGGGGTGCAGTCTGAACAACTGAAGTGGGTCTTGGCCATGTCTGTGCTCATTCCAGGGGTGACAGCCCTGGTGACCTCTCACCGGGAGTCTGTCTAAACGGGGTTTGGGGCTTGAAGCATTTTTAGTTTTAAATACGGAAATTTAAGGCAAAGGCGGGAATGCCTGGCTCTGTCTTATACCTCCCGCTGTGGCAGGTGGGGAGCTGGGGCATTGATGGGGAGCTGGGGGCCGGGAGCAAGTTCACTTGCGTGGCTGCTGGATATGCGGGGTGCGTGGTGACGGGTGCTTGTCCATGGAGGCGTGGGGCTTCTGGTGAGCCACCTGCGCGGCCGCGGGGGGGAAGTCTTTGTCACCCTGTGGGAGACACGGAATGCACAGCTGATTAGTGTGTGTGTGAGCCCAGAGCCCTGCTAACGCCCAGCACCTGTCCAGCACCCTGCGGGGGGAGCAGGGACGAGGAGTGAGTGATGGAATGATGCCCAGTGGCAGGGGCCTGTTGCCTGTGGGCTGCTGAGGGTCTCAGGGGGCTGTGGCCATCAGAACTGGGGGGCTGGAGATATAGGAGCTCACCAACCAGCAGGTTGGGAGAAGGTTTGCTGGCTCTGCCACAGGACATGGGACAAAGGTCCCCCACCACCCAGCTGACATCTGTGTTTGTGATCATTTGAATCAGCGGCAAGGCAGGGCCACATCAAGGCTCAGATTTGGATTTGCTGCCTCCGCTGTGAGCTGGGCCTGGAGCACTGAAGGGGAAGGAAACAGGCCAGGGCTGAAAGACGGATCCAACCCAACGCTTCTCAGGGAAGGGCTGCACGTGTTTCCTAGGGAGGGACCCACTGGCTTCTGTGCCAGCAGTTGGGGTGTGGCTGGGGATGGGCCCGACCCTCTGTGGACATTCTAGCATGTTCTCACAGAGCTCCCTGGCCAAGGGGCGATCTCAGATGCAATGGCATTTGATTTGCTCACATGTGGCAGCCATGCCAACTATCTGTTGCAGTCTCTGCATGGCTGTGGCCACAGTCCCAGTAGGGAGCTGTCCCCATAATGCCATTTTCTTCAGACACCTTGTGCTGGGGACTTGACTCCCAAAAGCAGCAGCACCATGGTGGGTGGTGCTATGGGGTCCGCTGGTGACAGGGCTGTGGTTAATACCAGAAGGGGGCTCGTGAGAGGTAAAGTGACTAGGTCTAGGGTATAAATGGCTGGTAGTACTTTGGGCAACATCTGGATTTTAGTCACAGGCACTAACCTTGCATTTTCCCCCATGTCACACCATTTTGATTGTTTTTAATCATTTAAAAAAAGTAAAGATATTCTCAGCTCACAGGTCACTTACAAACCCCTGGGCCATGGGCTGCAGAGGAGGAAGGGGAAACAGCAGGCAGGGCTGTCACCACCGCCCTAGCTGTGCCCCAAGGGAGTGTGACCATGGAGAGAGCCAGGGGCCCCAGATCCCGTGATGGGTGGGGCTGGTTCCTCCAGGCCACTTCCCAAGAGCTGGAGAAACGGAGAGGTCACGTGCTGTTGCATCTGCAGGTGCTCAGAGAGAAAATGGCGAGCTCTTACCCGGGCGATAACACCGGAGATGAACACGGTTGGCTTAGGTGGGCTGCAAAACAAGAGGAGAAAGGTGCATTGAGCGGCAAAGGTCACAGAAGGTGGCACTGCACCAGGGCCCGGGACGGGTTTGCGATGGAACCGGCGATGGTTTTGGCGGCTGCGAGGTGGCGTCAGGGAGCACCTCCTTCCTCCGTCTTATTTTTTTTTTTTGACAGGCAGAGTGGACAGTGAGAGAGAGAGACAGAGAGAAAGGTCTTCCTTTGCCGTTGGTTCACCCTCCAATGATCGCTATGGCCGGCGCACTGCGCTGATCCAATAGCAGGAGCCAGGTGCTTCTCCTGGTCTCCCATGGGGTGCAGGGCCCAAGCACTTGGGCCATCCTCCACTGCACTCCCGGGCCACAGCAGAGAGCTGGCCTGGAAGAGGGGCAACCGGGACGGAATCCGGTGCCCCGACTGGGACTAGAACCCGTGTGCTGGCGCCGCAAGGCGGAGGATTAGCCTAGTGAGCCGCGGCGCCGGCCTCCTCCGTCTTATTTGATTACAGCGAGCAGACCGTGGGGCTTGGAAGCGGCCGTCGGTTGGTTCTGGCACCCGGAGTGAGAGCAGACATTGCACTGCAACAAACAGCAGGCAAGCTGCTGAAAAGCCCTTTCTTTCTGTTTTCTGTTTAATCTGGAATGTTAGCAATGGCCAAGCCGACTTTTGGTTTAAAGAGATTTTGGAAGTGAGTGCGTCCCTGCAGTAGGGGGCAGCAGCCTCCCTCTGGGGTGAACCCCCTGCCTTCAGCCAAGGGTTCCCATCTGGAGTGCCCACACGTCTGAGGCTTTGGGCGACTTCTGACTGGTGAGATCCCAGAGGCAGGGCAAACTCTCGGCCTCTGTGGCTGTCCAAGCACACAGAAGTCCCTGTGAAGGTACTGTTGCTTCTCACCCCCTTAATTCACTCTGTCAACAGTTGTTGACAAGCAGACTGGCCCAAACACGTGAAGTTCAAGTGCATGGAGTTAATCATTCTTAACACACCAAATATCCTTCCAGTCTTTCTTTGGGTGCATGTACACACAGTTTCCTTCCTCATGTCTTGTCTTACAGTCACACTGTTGTGTAATAGGCTTTTTGAACTAAGAATGCTTCTGTGTTGATAGATTTTCTATGCTTTTTTTTTTTTTTTTTTTTGGATGGCTGCCATGTGTTGTAGTTCCATCAGAACACAGTTGCAGGCAGTGGACCAGGTGTGTAGACCTCTGCAGGGCCTCACTAGGGGTGCGGAGACCCAGGAGCAGGCGGCAGACACGAGGTCAGCCCAGCCGGGGCAGTGAGGCTAGGGCACTGCCTGGAGAGGGGACAGGGGAGGTCCTTTGATCACAGCAGTTTTCTTTAAGGCCAGTCCCGCCGGGCAGGGGAAGCAGAATGCGTCCCTAGCCTGTCTCCCTCTGCTCTGCTTCCCTCCGCTGTGCCCTCTGCCCTGCAGCTGGGGGTCCTGTCGAGGAAGCCACTTGACTTTCACAAGAAAGCCCCAGGGTTCAGAAAGTTCACTGGCTGTTTACAACCCAAAGACTTTAGCCAAAAACACTGAAATCCCCCCAACTAATCCCTGCTACTCATGAGATGAAGCAGCTTCAAGTCTTACTAAGCACACAGACTCCCTCGGTGTTGCCTTGGCTTTATTTGGTGTTTGTTGTGTGGTTAACTGGGCAGGATTTTTTTCTTCCTTTGTTTATGATTTAATGAAAGGGCTCATAGCCAGCCAGAGGTGAGTGAGCTGAGCTCGGTTTAAGCACCTGGTGTAGTCTGTGTGGATTCAGTTGGATTCTGACAGCACACCCTGCTACGCCAGCTTGATACCATCCATGGGTGAGGCTTGCCGGGTTTGCTTCCAGGGGACCTGGGGCAAGGGGGGTTGCATCTAAAGCTGGGGAGCTGTGGTCCAGACTCTGAGTGCTCAGGAAAGGAAACAGCAGTGGTGGCAATACGTCTCCAGGAGTCACTGGGATGCTCCTTTAACCCCCAGGAACAGCTGGTGCAGTGAGGCCCCTCTGATAAGAGGGGTGCTAGCCTCCCTGCAAACTAGGCGCTTTGTGGTGTATTCTGTATAAAGTGGCTCTTAGGGTTGGCAGTGGGAGTTTTCTGGAACACTCTGTATGACTTTCATGAATCATTTCTTGGTTAGGGGTGCCCCCCAGTGGGGTGCAGACACCTGCTGAGAACCACTTTGGAAAAGGAATCTAGGAACAGGGAATACTAAAAACTGCAGATGTAAGGGCAGGCATTAGTGCAGTGGTTAGGATGGCTAACCTGGGATGTGTGCCTCGCACTGGTATGCCTAGGTTTCATTCTCAGCTCTGTGTCTGACTCCAGCTTCCCACCAGCGCCTGGGAGAAGGCAGTGACGGCTCAAGTAACTGGGTTCCTGCCACCCACACTGTGTTCCCAGCCTGGCCACTGAGGGCATCTGGGGAGTGAACAGGTGAATGGGAGATCTCTCTATCTCTCTGATCCTCAAAGAAATAAAAAGAAAATTAAAAACCTGCAGAATTGAACATTATTTTTTATATTAGCATTAAATATTTAAAAATAAGTAAATACTAAAAACCAGAGAGGTGAAAAGTTCAAGTACCATCTTTCCCAACCCTCTGTTTTGGGGGAGGCCTTAAACGGACACCCTGTATTATCGGTGCACACCCAGGAAACACGGCTGCTGAGGGGACGGCACTGTGGGGCAGGAGGAGGCCACGTTGTCCCTGCCACAGTGCCTTGGCCAGGAAGTGGCTGTGGCCACACCAACCCCATGTATTGGCCATGCAGCCAGGGCTGAGTCCCGTTCATCCTGCTGGGTATGCTGCCTGGGATGTGGTGTGATCGAGGATCTGCTGGCCCTGGTCAAAAGGGCTCGGGTACAAAGGCATGAACTTGCCGTGTGCATAACCCAGGGCTCATTCTGCGATGAGCAACAGGAACAGGGCACCTGACTCAGCAGGGAGCTTGGGTCAGAGCCGACCTCTGGAGCACAGTCTACACAATGTGCATTCTGTCCTGTTAACCTGGTGCCAGGGAAAGGTGATGCCGAGACCTTGGACTGCACCCTGCAGTGCGGTTCCCTAGTGCCCTGTTTGGCATCTGTGGGCAGCAAAGTCCAGGAAGACTTGGCACAGCCAGCATGTTTGCAGGTGGGGCCCTGGCTTTAAGACTGTACTTTGACATTTGAGGACTGGGCTGCAGGTACAACATCTTAGCTGCCCGAGAGAGGAGACCCGGGGACTCGACCGTGACCTGGCGGGGTGTCTGCTGCAGCTCTGGTGAGCTCCAGGACAATGTTCCTCCTAAAGACGTAGTTTAAGCCCTCTCTTGGCCTTCAAATTTGCTTCAAAACCCCAACAGCTAATTAAGTTTTTAAAACCATGTTAGCCATTTTTAAGCACACAGTCAATGGCATTAGGCACATTTAAAACATTATGCAGCCATCACTGCTATCTATTTCCCATCTATCCCAAATGACCTTCTGTATCAACTTAACCCTCCCCCCCCCCATCTCCCAGAGACCCCTGGCCACCACACTTCCACGCCCCATCCCTGTGAGTGTGACTCTTCTGAGGACCTTGTACAAGTGAAATTAGATGTACTGGTCTTTTTGTGTCTGGCCTATTTCCCTCAGCCTAATGACTTCCGGACTAATCCCTGCTCTATTGTGGTCAGAATTCCATTCCTTTTGGAGGCTGAAAACTGTGTGGACAGACCATATCCTGTTCCTCTCTTGGTGGGCATGTTGGTGCTTCTACCTTCCAGCTACTGGGAATATGCAGCCATGAGCCCAGGTGCACAACACCTGTTCCAGTGCCCACTTTGAGTGTTCCATGCAGGTACTCAGCAGAGGAACGTATGGATTGTATGGTCAGTGTACGTTTAACTTTGGAGGAACTGACCAACTGTTCACACAGTTGCTACACTGGAATCAGACCAGCAATACGCGGGGTTCTGATTTCTCCACTTTCTCACCAACACTTGCTATTTCCCGTTTTTTTAGTAACTTTTATTTTTAAGATTTATTTATTTGAGAGGCAGAGTTACAGAAAAAGAGAGAGATATCTTCCATCCACTGGTTCACTCCCCAAATGGCCACAACGGTGGGAGAAAGGCTGATCCCAAAGCCAGGAGCTTCTTCCAGGTCTCCCATGTGGGTGCAGGGGTTTATACACTTGGGCCATCTGCTGCTGCTTTCCCAGGCCATTAGCAGGGAGCTGGATTGGAAGTGGATTAGCTGGGAATCGAACCAATATCCATAAGGGATGCGAGCGCCTCAGGCGGAGGCTTAACCTGCTGTGTTACAGAGCTGGCCCTGAGAAAGGTACCTTAATAGGTGGAAAGTCATCTCATTGTGGTGTGGATTGAGCAACCGATTTTAAGAGTCAGCTTCCTTGCAGTAAGGGATCATAAACACCAGCCTGTACTCTTAGGAACCACTTACTCAAGGTCTTTATGAACAGGAAGCTTCCCCTCAAATTCTTCCTCTCTCCTCAAATACTGACCAGGCCCCCATCTGGTCATCAGGAGATCTGGCCTGTGACAAGATGGTCAAGGACTGGTCTTTCCCATAATACCTCACAGGTACATCCATTTCTCAGATCTCTGCCTTAGACCGGGCACGAGTATCCTTGCAGGTTTTCATCAAGCTTGGCTAAAAGGTCCCTGGCTCAAAGCCTTTTCCATCCTAGTTCATAGCACTCCGGGGCCCATGCGATGGTGCAGGGATAAACCATCACTTGGGCCACTGGTATCTCACATCAGAGTGCTGCTTGGAATCATGATGGCTCTGCTTCTGATCCACCTTCCTGCCGGTGCTCTTGGGAAGTCTGCAGAAGATGGCCCAAGTACTTGGGCACCTGCCACCCATGTGGGAGACCCGGATGGAGTTCCTGGCTCCTGGCTTTGGCTTGGCCCCGCCCTGGCTGTTGTGGCCATTTGGGGAGTGAACCAGCAGATGGATGATGTCTCTCTCACTTGCTGTCACTCTGCCTTTCATAAAAATAATAAATCTACAAACATTGATAAGGA